AACAAATCGCCCACACAGAAGCGTGAAATAGGACTTCTCTGTGTTTACTAATAAGATAGAGAGGAAGACGGGAGGAAAGAAATCAGTAAGTAGTACAGGAAGCAACAAGGTTTGAATTTCGCGATAAGTGATTTAAAGTCGTGATTTTCAGCTCTGGTGTCACTTGCCAACCGTGTACTACTCTCTCTTTTTCTCTCTCTCTCTCTTTTCTATTCCCTTCCATACCTGGTTGGCTTTCGTCTCGTTCTCCAACAAACGGTAAACCGTGTTATCACAACTATGCCAAAAATGCAAATCAACGAGTGAGGCCTTTCTAAAGAGGTTGGAATGCAACGCGCTCGAAAGTCCTGGAAAGGCCTGTCCTGCGATTGCAACAGATGCAATGGCGGCAGTCACACCACCACGAGGAAAGTCCTTCGTGATCGCGATTGCAATTTATTTTTGATGTTGCCTGACAATCAGCCGCCCATAGAAAATATATCAACGACAGCAAGCTTTCCATTATTTCGATGAGAAAATTATCCGCCCAATGAGACGATGCCGCGAGTGATTCTGCGAGTGTTGATCGACGAAGGAAACACGTCCCTTTCTTTTTCATTTACTTAGCTACACTACTTCCTCATTTTATACCTAGTTACACTATTTCTTTTCGATTTTGTTTTCTTTAGCACTTATGTGGGCTATCATTATTGAGTCATTCAAGATTATAATAATTTAGAGTTAGATTATTTAATTTTTAATTTAGTTTTATTTTATTATTAACCTATATCACAGGAATATACAGTACAAAGTAACATTAAACGACCTAAGATTTTATTAATCTTAGATAAATTATTATAGTCATCTACATATAACCCAATGATACTATCTGAGAGTTAAATAAAAGAATTAAGTCACATCTTTATGCGATAAAAATAGTAAGTGTCATGAAAATTGATTAGCTATTATGGTACACGTTATCTACTGGGCCCTCTTGTACACAATTGAACTAATATTTTTGGTAAAATTTTGCAAATTACAAGATATACGTACGTTGTTACTATATATAGACTTTTATATCTATAAATTCCTATTCCTATGAATATAATTAAAAAGATATAATCTAGACGGAAAATTATTTTATTGACTAAATATTATAGAGTGCTATACCTTTCTTTGTCAACAATTTCTGTTCCAGAATATTTACAAATAAAATAGGTACAAAATTTCGCAACTGCAAAATACTGTCAGTTTATACGCCTTGTGCCGTTAGGAATTAACATTTCCTAGAGAATCCTTGCGAAGTTTTCATTAATTGCGCTTGGAACTTGCTACAAGTAAAATACCGTTATCTTATCGTTACATAAGTAATCGTAATGCTGTTTCGAATTTGCATCAATGAGAAATGAACGAGCTTGTCGAATATGAGAAACGTTTTTACAATCGTTTGTAACGAGACCTCTCTATATTATTAGTATTTGATAGTACCATTATGTAGAGGTCAAGCACGATAGATAAAAAGCTGTATTTACAATACATATTCACATATATATGTGTATAAGTTACTTCTTCCTACGTGAATATATCTTAGAAGATAAGCGGATGAAAAACAAAAAAGAATTGATTCGATAAACGTTAAACCCCTCGAACGATATTGTTTGAAGACATACTTTAACGTATGTAAACGAATCTATGTACGTTCCCATATTATTACTCTATTCTTTTTAAGCTTGAATTATTTTTTATTTGTTTAGCAAATATTAATTTAATAGAAATAGCTATTGTTCACAATAATTATAAACAAATAATATTCTTTTAATTTGTATACATTTTGATTGTTTTGATTGAGTTAGTGTAGTCATTTTAATTATAATAGAAACAGAAATTTTATTAATTCTACGTAAATTAGACATTATTTTTAACGTGTAATTACGTTCTTCGTGTAACAAGGATGCGATAACATAGCCAACATGCAATTTTTGATAATGAAAGATACTGTTAACTGATGAATTTTAAATCCATTTGAAAATAAAGAAATGAATTCACGTATGAAGTTCAGTGTTACAATGTCACTGTGTGATAGCGTCACATTTTCTTACATATAGGCATAAGTGGTATATAAGATGAAACATCTAAATATAAAGATTCTATTAAAATGATAAATATGATTATCAGAAAATTATTGTAAGTTCGCAACAATGCTTCTGCATTAGTATCATTGTTACGACCGTTCGCGGAGAGACGCGGTCGCGAGGAAAACGCGTCAGCGAGAGGCGTCAATTCTCGCTACGATTCGGTTAATCGACGCCGCGAAATAGTCGTTCCCCTGTTTCGGTTAAGATAACAGAGGTGGTTGAATGAATATGACACAGTATAGTAAGTTATATATCACCGTCTATTCTAACAACTTATAACGAAGACAGTTACGCTGGTGCGTATGTACGAGATGAGTGAGTGATCGATCTACGGCTGTGTATACCCGGTTAAAGGATGTTGACCGTTCGAAGGATGTAAAATCAGTCCGTTCGGAGACGATGTTGTGACGAAGGAAAGCTAAGGATGGGTGTGTCTAGCGCACGGGCCCATCGGATTTGTTGGTGACGATTTTAGTTAAGAGAGTGAGGGAAATAGGCTTCGTTGTTAATTGGTTAAACGAAGGGGCTTCACCGCCCTCGAGAGAAAGTGGTTAGTGGGAGGAAAATTGCATCATAAGTGAGAAAAACTAACTTTCCCTTGTCAAGCTGTAGTAGACAATGGTCTTTAGAAATGCTTCGGAAACAGACGTTTGTTTGGTTTGAAGGACCTCGATTAGGAAATTCCTGAGATTTATGGAAGGTACTTGAGACTATTGAGGGTACGCAGTGAGTATCCGAAGACATCTAGTTGCCATCTTGCCCGCGGTGTATGACCTGGGCTAGGTAGAGTGTTACGCGACGTAACAATCATCTTGTTCCGCTACGTCAAAGATGTTGGTGAATTGAAAATAATTGTGAAAAATTTACGATCTAAAACATGTATATTATAGAAGTATACTGAATTATATTTAAACCCAATTAAAAATATAAAATTATTGCTTAAAATTAAACATTTATAAAAACAAGATATTTTCATCTAATAATGCCGCAAAGTCGTAAGAAGTAGTGACACAAAAATGACGAAATGTCATACATCATTAAAAGATATCGAGTGTTAAAACGCCAAAAGTTCCTTATTAAAAGTAATGGTTTAGTAGTAAAAATTTTTCCGAGTATTTCGCGAGACGGATAAAATGATTTCACGTATTATAGACCAATGGAGGCAGAGCTGTGAATTCGGTAATTTTTAACTGGGCGCATCTGGAGGACAACCTTCGAATATCCCTCTCTCTTGTTTCATGTACAATACGTTCCCTACGTTACAATTAAGGCCTATTTGTGAACAAATTTATCTGGCAACAGACCAACCGATTGTGCCTACTGTTGGTACGCGGACTTACAAGAGTCGTTGTAACGTGTTTGCTAAAGACATTAACTGACACGAATTTGCTGTGCAAATGACTCTAATTAGGATAGCGTAGCGCAGCGGCTAAGCGTGAGTCCGTTTGTGTATACGTTGTGTATATATGTTCTCACGCAATATCGTTTACAGAAGTAATGCTATGATCTTTACTGTGGAACAGTCGAAGAAAATTAGCGTAGATGTGGTTACAATGAAAAGAAATGTTGCGGGCAAGTTTTCTGTTTTCACCGCAAATAGTAATTGTTATCGTTACCTCACAAATCTCAGGTAGAGCGCAAACTTCTTTTCTTTTCCTTCCTTTCTGTAATGAACCAGTTGCCTATTCTCACTTTGCCACAATAATATACTCAAGGCGATATTAATCATCCTAAACGATTTATTTCTTGGGTGACTCGCGTTAGTCTCTCTGTCGACGATCACGATTTCGCTGCGATCACGTTGGAAAATGTTACAGTTGGCGTGACTCTGTCTTCAGTTACGATTGTACGTTCTGTATTCCTGTGCCGCGAAGCTAAATTTAAAGGCCAACTGTGCCTAAAAAGATTTGTGTGTGGTACCGTGACTGTGATTGAATTACCAGATATATTTTCGTTTCGTCGAGTAATAAAAGAAGATTAGTATTGTCATTAATAATATCAGGCAGTACCGGTGCTATTGAACTTTTTGAAATATTCTGATTTTCCCATATGGTGACATGGCTCAAGAATGGTCTCTTTCTGAAATATTATTCTTCGACAGCCTGTATCGGGATTCTCATCAACTTTTTGCAAAACTGTTTTTTCTAAGTCAAAAGTGGAAACTGTTTTCGATTCTCCAAAGTATTGAAAATTGCCCTTTATCATGTCAGAAATTTTTAATTAATCTAGGGAACTGAACACATTACTGGTTAGATGTCTGTAATCCAGAAAACCTTTATATAATAAGGTCTCTAATATTTGCAGTCATGTTTATTAGGACCTTTTCGCCCGCTTTGATGAATAGTATATGAAGTTTGGCATCGACTTTTTGAAACATCCTATGTAAAATGTTTAAAATATAGCACTTGTTACAACATTCGATTCTATTGTTTGAATGAAAATTAAAAAAAATTACTATTCATAAAAATATGGATTTGCATATAAATGAAGAGTAAAAGAAAGAAACAAGCAAAGTTCATTTTTCTTGATTTTTCATTTTATAGCAGAATTATCAAATCACAATGATTATAATGTTCAAAATTTTTTCCATAAGATAGCATTAAAGATGTAATGTACTGGTTAAAAACAGGGAATGTCCACTTCGTACTGGAACAAAACACAGAAATAATTACTGTAAAATAATTAATATTTTATTGATCATTCTTTTTTAGAATATCTAAGTAAGGTATAAATTTTATGTTATTGCTACTACAATAATTTTTTCAATAAAGCTATCTTCTAACATTCCTTATTTTTCTCTCTTCCCTTTCAAATATGTTCACTCTACCGACAAATCAATAAACAGAATTGAACGATCAAAATGTACGTGTTTGTTACCTGTTTCAGGGTACGAATGGTCCTAGACCGGCGTATGTGGGTGCTAATAATGGTAATGCCGGTGGCGCCGGGGGTGGCGGTGGTGGTGGTGGAGGCGGCGGCGGCGGCGCTACGGGCGGTGGCATCGGTGTTGGTCCGGCGAGCGGTGGCGG